TGTGGGCCATATCAGATTCCAGTGTGAACAGGTCACGGTTCTGAAGTGACCAGTGTGACTAATATCAATCTATAGTCACATGAATTCTGATATATTCACACTGAGGTCACAGTACAAAGAATCAGACCTGTGTCTGATTTGGACCACATATGAAAGTAGCCCAAATCAGAATTATAATGATCAGATTCCATGTGATTTGTGTTATAAAAAAGAAATCAGATTTGGAACCACTTGCCCTGCAGTGTGAACATAGTCAAAGACATGGTACATTTCCGTCAGGATGCCACAGACAGAAGGCGTTCACTAAAAGAAAACTGTCCCGTGTGGAAATTCATGTTTTTTTTTCTTATCCTTTCATAAGACTGAAGCTATCACTTGTTTTCTTGTTGGCTTTTCTGACAGTCGGTAAGGTAGCTTTATTATACATCATTATGTAGCAGAGGCAAATCAGAGTGCTTTACATAGGCAAAGAAAAACATTGAGCAATAAAAAGGAGAGTCAAAATAAAATGAAAAATAGATAACATTAAATAAAATATGTGGAATGCAGTTACAGTGCAGTAATTTGTTGTAGGTTGCCCCAAATGCAACAAGGGAAATGAAAGTCCAATTGAAAGGAGATTCCAGTCAATCAAAGGCACAGGAGAACAGAGGTTTGAACTTAGATTTAAAAGCAGCTAGGGCTGGGGTGCGTTTGAGTTCATCTGAAAGTTGGTTCCCTTTTTTTGCAGCATAGTACCTGAAAGCAGCTTCACCCTGTTTGGTTTCGAGTCAACCAGCTGACTGCTCCCTACAAATCTACTGGATTTATATTCTTCATTATTGAGCGAATTATAAACTAGCAGCAGCACTATAAACTCTATGAGTTTGCCAGTGTTAAGATTAAAGAACAGTAATGTGCTCAGTTCTCAGCAGCATTCTAAATGAACATTACAGAGGACGTGTTTGACTTGTCCAGTAGTTACATTTTTGAGCATTGTAGAAAAACAAATGAATGACGGTTGATATGCACATGATACCCCTTTGCTAAGTGCCTTCATGGTGATAATCTAACCTAATTAACGGATGTTGTGATGCAGGCTGTGTTTCCTGACGGCTTTCCAAGGGTTTGTTTATTTGTATTTGTAGCACTTCACAAGCTTCAATCATTTTCATTACAAAATTAAAATCTACAACACAAAATTGATTAAACTCAGGATTATTTGGGGTGTCAGTGGGTGTTTGGGGCTGTTAGCATTGGATGAATTCGAATTGGGTCACATTTTAAAGGTCATCATATGGTTGTCAGGCAACAGGAAAACAGAAAATTGTGCTAGTGACAGTGCTTATCTTCTATTATATGAGCTTTCTGCATCCGTTTTTTAATCGATGGCAACAAAGGTCATGTAAAGAGGGCCTTGGGATGTGAAAGCATCCGTGCTGTCCGCCTCTCAAGCTGCATATAAATCCTCCCTGCTTGAATAGAATTAGTAGACCCCAACTACGTTATCTCCAACCATAACCACCTCTAGAGTAGTCTCTCGATAGGTTTGTGGGTGGGTTGGTACACAATTGATATTAAATTAATATCCATGACTGCATAATGGTCTCAGTTCTTAGATGCAACTAAAGTGAAGCCTTGTTTCCAAGAGCTGTTGACGCAATGATGATTATTATTGATTATACTGGTATAGATATTAATTTTTTAGGAGGCGGGCCTGTTTTATTGCATGTGTTTTTGTGGTGAAATATGATCCGAGTGTCTGCTGGGGATGTGCACTTAGGCTGTTAGCATCCTGTCATTAGCATAAGTTATACCGCATAAGTTATACCACATACTGTGACCCTGCCCTACTGGCATAAATCCTAACATGTGTCCCTGAGCCATCCTTGCTCAGTCACACTGTCTCCTCTTTTCCTTTATTCCGAGGAACTAAAACCGACTGAAACAATGCTTCTGCATTCTCAGACTGCATTTTCTATTGGTTTTGGCTTGAGCACTCTATCTTGTCAGTGAGGCTTTCACTCTTTGGAGTAAGCACTGCCTGAGAGGGTAACCTCAGGGCAGGAACGTCGCTTAACCCTTTGATATCATGTGCAGTTGTGTCACCTCTGGATATGGCGAGGGGCGACATCCCTGAATCAGACAGCAGATCCTGGAACATGCCAGAGCTTTTCTTTGTGTCAGAGATGTCACTGAGCTGTTGTCAGGGAGCTCATGATTTCTGGTGCTTTGTTAAAACCTTCAGACAGCCATTTCTACCTTACTGTAAACAGATGTGTTGAGCCCTGTATGTACATATTCCATATGTGCACAATCCTGCAATAACAAAAATATAAAATCAAGAAAACACCGAACATAGAAGGAGCTAGAAGGATCTGTGATATGATGGTGATTTCTCAGATTTTTTTTCTTATCTGGCCTGATCTAACAACATGAATGTTTTGCTTGCAACCAAAGATTGAACAAACACTCAATTTGCCAATTAAAATATGAGCCTCAGTTTACTGGCCGCATAAAAACAATGGCTCCCTCTTGCACTCAGGCAGGCTTGTGATGGTTGAAACATCAGAGCTGAGATACTTGTGCAGTGTAGACTAATGGCCACAAGATGTCAGTATTCTTTTGTATACTAACTAAGGATCACAGCAACAATAGTGTCAAATAAATTGTTTTATGCAGCCTCTTTTTGTTGTTTTAGTGAAACACAAATCACCATAAATTACAACATAAATATATAGACCAAATTAAGGCTGAAAGAAACAATTCAAATTGTAGTTCAGTTATATTAATATAGATGAATATAGTTGAAGTAAGCAAATTGTATCCCGTATGTTTTTTGAATTTGGTTGATAATAATAAATAATAAAAGTACTGCCTGGACAATTCAGGTTTTATATGTATTTGACCGGGCATTAAACACACTGTGATAAAATTAAAGAGCTCTGCGGTTTAAATAGGCCTCAATGTAGAGTGAAGAACAGGTCAAATAAGAAAAAAAATCAAACAAATCGCATTAGATAATGTGCTGCTGTGCAGACGTTTATAGGTTTTGGTCAAATGATCGTCACGAACAGCTCGTGGGGACCGACTCGTAGCAGCTTTTATGCAAATCGCCCTCTTCAGCGTGTTTTCATTGGAGAGGAGCGTGGAGGTGTAGTCTGGAAGGCGTGACATCATGCCAATGCAGCTTTATGAAGAAAGTGCGCTTCCCCTGAACAGACAGAGGTGCGTCCAGTCCGCTGGCATCGGTGGACTTTAAGTGTGTGGCTTCTGAAGCCAAAGAGGCTGCGCGGTGCAGAATCACCAGCTCGTACAGAGTTTGAGAAGGTGGGAGGCTTTTACGCACGTATGTTTTTCCTTCTGAGCTGAACTCAAAGTTTGGAATTACTGCAATTTCTCTCAAGTAAGCGCTCTCTCGCTGACTGCATGAAATAGCTGTGGACATTTGGAGCTCTTTGAAGAGACCAGCTTGTTATTTAATATGACCGCTGAGGCGCACTCGCATTTGGGACTGCAGAAAAGCACCATGGATTTCGTCAGCGACTTCGACTTGATGAAGTTCGGCGTCAAAAAGGAGACGATGCCGGGGATAGACCGCTCCTTCATCGGGCCATGTAGCCAGCTCCAGAGACCCGACTCTGTGTCTTCCACTCCTGGCAGCACACCTTGCAACTCAGTGCCCTCATCGCCAAACCTCAATCCAGGCGAGCAGAGAAATAACCCCGGGGGCGACCAGTTCTGGATACCCAACAACGGGGGTTACCCTCAGCAAATGTACCCTCAAGCTTTTGGTCTGACACCCGAGGACGCAATGGAGGCCCTAATCGGCGCCACGGCGCAGCAGGGACACCCATCTGCGCCCCACGGCCACCATCCGCCACCTTTCCAAGCTGAATATGACGGGTACGGCCACCTGAACGAGCCTGTCCAGCACTATCCGGGACTCCCGGGTCACCCCGACATGCAAGGCATCCCCAGCAGTCACTGCCAAGACCCTTATCTCAAAGATGACCTGGGGTGCGAGTCCCCTCAGTCGCCGGAGGCCCAGCAGGTCCTCGGTGCGCACCACCATCTCCAGCAGCAACACAGCCGCCACGACCGGCGATCCAACGCCGAGAGCCACTTCTCAGACGACCAGCTGGTGTCCATGTCCGTCAGGGAGCTGAATCGGCTCCTCAGAGGCCTCAGCAAGGACGAAGTGATGCGTCTGAAGCAGAAGCGCCGGACCCTGAAAAACAGAGGTTACGCACAGTCCTGCCGCTACAAGCGCGTCCAGCAGAAACACATTTTGGAGCACGAAAAGACCAGCCTGGTGTCACAGGTCGAGCAGCTGAAACATGAACTCAACAGACTGATGCGGGAGAGGGATGCATACAAACTTAAATGCGAGAAACTGTCCGGTGCAAACTGTTACCACGAAACTGGGTCCACCAGTGACAATCCTTCCTCACCCGAGTATTTAATGTGAGTTTGTTAATTTCCTGCAGAACTGATTATTTTCCATAGGGAGGCATTATGTCGACAGCTCGCATTGCTCCTTTACAGACAATCCCGTGGATTCACCAAGTTCTAATTAATGTTGGACATAAGGATATCACTCAAATAATTGTAATAGATGCAACTAGGCAACAAGTTATGAATGGAAAATTACAATGAAGCATGCATGCAGGACATGTATGAGATGTTTTTATTTTATACAGGCATATCTGAATTTTGTCTGAAAGGAGATACTTGAAATCAGAGAATTTTCCCTTTTTATTAATATACAACTTTAATCCTTCTGCTTCA